GTGAAATCTGCAATTGTCACTGTATGTAAATGGATAATTAAGTATTGTTTTACAATAACCTATAATCCTATTTGGCCAAGTGTTTTAAAACCTTTTGATACTTTTGACAAACTCCCCCCAAATCAAATTCTAAATAGTGTTTTTGGAATCAAACTAACTTTGAGATTTTTTCAGAGGATCCCTGGAACACCTCAAAAGATTTATTTTCTCTCCTTATAAAAAGGTACGTTAAGTAATTAGGCATATTTGATGTTAAATTACATGGGAAGCACTATATAATAAGGAATAATACTAGCCCTTCTCTAGGTTGTATTTGTATATGTAATTAGTTTCCTAGAAATTGTATGAAATTCCTAAAGTTTAATAGGTCTTAGCATAATGTTAACAGTCAGAACTCCAGTTATTATCTTAAAACCTTGTGTTACAGAACTAACCAAATTTCCTTGTCAATTTCATTATAATGAACTCTCATCAGATTTCTAGAAATGGACTCTTTTTTGGCCAATGCAGACAGTTACTGTTTTACTCTAATGATTTGCAGAAGTGTTCCTGCAAAAGTACTTCATCTTAAGGAGATTCAAAGAAAAGATTCTGACAAGTACAAGGTTTCCGATAATAAGAAGCCTGGAAGATCATAAAACCAAACTGGGTAAGAATTTCCAGAGCTAATGGAAGAACTGGATTCTAGCAGAATAAGAATTAATTATATGGGATTGAATGAACTGAGGAGGATGATTATAATTTTTATGACTTCTTGTTGATTCTTTAATATTTTATTTTTCCAGATTTAAGGAAATATTTTCTCTTAAGCCATTTATGACTTACAATAATTTGGTAAAGCATACCTTTGTAAACAATGACGAAACATTTTTCCTCCCTACAAGATCCCTCCAAAATTCTTTACATGGTGAAATAGTTATATTTCATGAGTTCAATAAGGATCTGTTCAATAAGGATCTGTTCTGAGACTGACCAGACAGTTAAGGAATGAACACAGGTTGACTTTATGGAGCCCACTAAGCCCCTTGGGAAAACTGGCCTGGTACTTTGCTTACAGGGTTCTTGCAAAGCAATCTTAAAAAGAGCTTACATGGTCAACCACTATTCTTGCTGCACTTAAGTAAATGACCAGTTCAATTCCAATGTAAGCAAATTAGTTTTACTAATTTGTTCTTGTAAAAATGGGGGTAATTGTAGAGAAAAAAGTATTTGCACCTTTGTCTATATTAGATTTTGATCCTGTTAATTATCTTTGGAGTTTTGTTATATACCTATAAATTGGATGAGATCCTAAATCCTTCTGGTTTCCTCAAATACCTGGCAACAACTCACTAAACAAATATTCCCAGTGTTCTCCCACCCTACTGATCTGGAATCACTAAAAACAAAGACTGCCCTTGAATCTCCCTGGAAGGAGATACTAGATCCTTCTTACTACCCAGATGGCAGCTAAACTTCAGGGACCTGAAGCTTAGATACACATCTCACAGCTGAAGAGGGCTCCACCATACAGACACTGCAAACCTCCAAATCAAATTGATGAGGAAGAGAAGCTGTTATTCAATCAGACTGCTTACACACAAGATGTCAGATCAAGACTTCATACTTTAACTGAACATGACATTTTTTTTTTCCTTCTCTTTCTTCACTCTGGCATCAGCTTGGAAAGATAATGCCCCCAGTTGTTTCTCCCAGGCTATTGCTAAGAGGTAAACTTTGCCTTTAAGACTCCTAGATTTGTCATCAGAAACTCCTATTTGTCCATTAACAGTGTCACCTTAGTCAGAGTCATTTGTGCCCTCATAGGATTTATCTTTGTCTATGGTGGTCGTCATGTTCCTTGAGCCTCTGAATGCCTAGACGGCAAGACATAACCAGACAATATCTCTTAGATTATCTAACTCTGCCCCTAACTTTCCACAAAGACCCCCCATTTGTAGACTCCTCTGGATCTTTGCCAGCAAGTTAGAAAGGAATAACCAGGAGGCCTTCATGATTCAGGATCAGGCTTCACTTCCTTTGGCAGGGCCATGCTTCTTTGGTTCAAAGTAAATGTAAATGAGAATATGATCAGAAACCTTTCCTTAACTCTCAAAGATGCTGCAGAATCCATTGCTAAAACAATAACTACCCACAGAGACTCTATGGTTAAGGTTGTTCTTGGTAAGAGGATAGTTCTTGATTATCTTTTAACTGAGCAAAAAGGTGTCTGTGATGTGGCCAGAACCACTTACTGTACCTGGATTAACACTTCTGAGGAAATTGAAACTCAGTTATATAAGGTCACTGAGCAATCCACTTGGCTCAAAAAGGTGACTACTTCAGCAGAGTCTTTCTTTGACTTCTTTGATTTTGATTGGTTTGAATCTTGGGGACCATGACTCCAAAGTACACCACAGATATTGGGAAATATCCCATCTATAACAGTCAGAATGATCTCCCCGGTGCATTGTATTCTCTCAAAAGTGTTAAATGTTTACAGTTGCTAAACACCAAGAAAATGATCTCCCTAAGACTGGAATGTCAGAAAAGGAGAAAATGGTCAACTTAAAAACTGTGAACCTGAATTCATGGCCTGTGAATATCACAATATTAAGCAAAAATGTCATGACCTATGTGAATACCACACAGAGGACATCTGTCAGTCAAGCTGGGAGTTTATAAAAACGGGAGAATTGGGATCCCTGGGTGACTCAGTGGTTTGGCGCCTGCCTTCGGCCCAGGGTATGATCCGGGAGTCCCGGGATCAAGTCCCACGTCGGGCTCCCTGCATGGGGCCTGCTTCTCCCTCTGCCTGTGTCTCTGCCTCTCTCTCTGTGTGTCTCTCATGAATAAATAAATAAAATCTTTAAACAAACAAACAAAACAAAATGGGAGAATTGTTAAAAAGGAGACAGCATATACAAAATGGAGTCACCTGTGCTAAATCCCATACCAGCAAACCAAAGCTCTATATGTAACCTAAATGCAGTTTCAGCCCTTCTAGGAATATAACATTTAACTAGACAACATGGAATCACCTGGTCAGCACTAGTAAGGTAATTTACCCAACAGACCCCTCTCATTTCAGTTAAGAAGGCAACCTTGCCTGAAACCTTGCATTCTTTGCTAATAATTTCCTCTTTCCACCTTCCAAAACCTTTGCTTTATATAGTTTGGCAGAGCTCCTTCCTATTGCTAGATGGGATGCTGCATGATTCCTAAATCATTGAACAAAACCAATTTAATCTTCAAATTTACTCAGTTGAATTTTTGTTAACACTAGCCAGGACCAGAGATACCAAAGCAGCCAAGTGCACCCTGAAGGTTGAAATGTCTTGATAGGTGCCAGGGAGAACTTTGGGATAGTTTCTAAATGGATTTGCCAGCCTTCGTGTACATTTGGCCTTATTCCTCAACCTAGGATGGTGGAAAGGGACCATAAACTGAACTGAGACAAACAAAATGGTATAGCTGAGTTTGGGCTGGACCTGAGAGCATCAGTGGAGGATGAGCAGGGACGCTGTCATACACTGGCCCTTCTTTCAGCTCCAAAATCCCACAGGTGTCTGTGGCTTTGCTGCTGACCTCAGAGCTGGGCATTCAGGTGTGTGTCCCAACAATGGGCTTTATGCTCACCACTGGGGCAGACACCGCCATAGTCTTTCCTGGGCAAGGAGAAAAAGTGAGCCCCATTCTGCAAATTTCCAGGACCTGAGGAAGTCCAGAGTTGGAATTTTTCAAATGTAAAAATAATACATGCTAAAAACTTGAAAAAATATGCAAATTAAAAAAAATCATGTGCCCATAACTATACCATTCAGAAGCTCCCAGAATGGTCATTTACAATATTTCCTTCTTTTTTCTTTACACATTTTGTCATGTAGTTGAGACTACTTATTTTGATATCTTGCTTTTTATGTATAACACAGTATTATAAGAATTTCTCCATGTTATTAAAAATATTCTACAAAAGTCATTTCAATAACCATAATTAGCACATGGATATTTATAGTAATTATCACACTAATTTTATTTTTGGAAATTTAGATTGCTCAATTTTTCTCCATTGTAAATAATGCTAATTAGGTTGGCATGACCACATACTAGTGAAAATGTCCAAGTGAAAAGCAGCATTTTGAGATTTTAAAAATAATAATCTATAATTTCAGATGTTAAAAATAATTTAAAACAACATGCTTTTGTCACAGATGCCATTGATATTTAAAAACAATTTAGTGGATCTTTGTCTGGTATGAACAGGCTTACAACCACTTTTTTCTCTCTTACCAAGTTTCCTGGGAACTACTGCTTCGAGCTATGAGACATAATCAGATATAAACAAGGGTCAATTTGAAGGTCTTTAGATGGGCTGGAAAATACCCATGCAAATCAGATGTCCTCTTCCTTCACTGCCACCTGCCTGTTCTTCCATCAGCTGCCCCCACTCCCTCTCCCTGTCCTCTGGTCTTCCCCTCATTCCCTCCAAGAGTGGGCTGATCCAGGTCCACTGCCCAAAATGGTTCTCAGTCCTCAATCCTGCTGCCAGCCATAGGATGACAAAATAAGAAAGCATCCCTCCCAGTCACATAAAGGCTGGGGTTGGGGGCAAAAGCCTTTGAAGTCAGACCGACTGGGGCTTAAGTACAATTCCAACTGCTATGTGATCCTGACCTCTCCAAACTTCAGTCAATTCAATACAATAAGACCGGATCTCCTCAGGAAACCATTGCCACAGCCAGAGTAGAGTCAGCGATGAGGACTGTGGAGCCAGGGATCAGTGAGTTGAGTAACCTACCCTTGTTTGGCCTTATATAATGCTGCTTCAGTGGGACTCTTAGAGCTAGTTTTATTGTGACAGTGACAGCCCGTCCCCCAGGACCTCTCTCAATGGAGTTCCTTCCCTCTGCTAAGAAATGCCTTCTCAGAAACACCCTCTCTCCCACCATCTGCCTCAGGCTCCAAAAAGGCTGGTTGTAGAACTGCTGCCATTGTCTTGAAGATCTCCCTGTTGTGGTCACCTGCGTGGCCACCTGTGTTGCTCTTGAGAAGAGGTGACACCATGTTGAAGGGACCGGAGTATCTGAGGTCACAGGGGACACAGCAGGGTCTCTGCCAGATGGCACGGTGAGATTTCCACTTGAACGAGTCCTGAGCTCTTCCCCTATGGGTTTAAAGATTATATAATGCACTAAAAGTAAGTTGTTTGTTATTAAAAAAAAAAACAACAACAACACAAAACAAAATCCTACCTCTGCTCCAGAGGACTCTCTTTAGATCTGGAGAGCACCCTCGAGCATGTGATGCTAAAGATTGAGGACGGGGCCTTGGGAAAGTGCCAATGATAGCAACAGAACATTATCTGGCACACTTAGGTTTTGCCTCGAACTATCAGGAAAGCTGAGCTGAACACTGAACACCCACAACACCCCAGGAACACTGTCTTGCACACATGATGAAGTCAGAGGAGTCCAGGGTGGCCTGAGGAGTGCTGGATGGAGAAGGCCATTCAGTAGTGACCTGCCTGTCTCTGCCACCCCTTCCTCACCTCTCACATTGTGCCACTCGCTGCTACTCGTAGCCGGCCACCCCATGATCAGTCCTTAGAGGGGAAGTATGGTGACACAGCAGGAAGTTCAATTTGCTTCTATTCTGCTATGACATGTGACGCGGGTTATGAACTGGACTTCAGTTGTTCTTGTGACTTATCTCCACTGTGTGTCCATCATGTGGCTAGTTCCTGGGGCCACATGATATAAAGGAAAGAGTACTTGCTTTAGATCACACATATCTGTGCCAAGTGCTGGCTGTATATTACTACCAATGTGTTCCCAAGCTAGCTATGCTTAGTCGGGTAGGCCTTCCGGTTCCTCTGAGCTTCCGTTTCATTTGATGCATAACTGCCCTGGATGGTTATAAAAGTTAACAAGAAGCGAAGAAAGAAGCAAAGAGAGGCGCCTGACCCAGTCAGGCTCACGGCCATGGCACATTACATCTTGTCTTGATGGAAACCTCATTCCTCACCTTGCTCTCCTGAAACTGGGTTCCTACCTTGTCCTGTCATTCTCCCTAGAGAGAGAACAGCCCTTGATATTCAGTCTTTCCTTCAGCTTTCAGATCTTTACCATGTCACTGATCTGGCTGGATCCACAAACATGGCCTCCCAGGCTCCCTCTGCTGGCTTGGAAACCAGTTACTCCATTGGGCTTCGTAGATCCTCTTCCCATGTGGACCTGCCACTTGTCACTCTTGGCTCTGGATGTTACAACCCTCCTGCCACCTCCCTTATACCACCTGTGGAATTGGGTAGATCCTGCACATACTTGGTCCATTGACAGAGCTTGAATAACTGTCTCCAGGTCCTCATTCTCTTCTACTCAAGCCTATGACCTCTTGAACCCTGAGTTATTATTTCTGGCAAGTGAGAACACCAGCGAGGTCTCCAAAAGGGGCTAGAACCCAATCTCAAAAGGGGTAGTAGTGCTACCACTGCACATAGGAATAGCATCAGTAAGTATTAGAAGACTGTACTCCATCCTTCAGTGATCAATATTGCTGAGTTGCCTGCTACCAACCAAGTGCTGTGTAGGCCGTGAGATAAACCAGCAAATGGAAGAGGCAAAAGGCCCTGCCCGTGTGAAGCTTGCATTCAGCTGTGCATGGGACACCTGGATGTGGACCTAATTGGAGGGCGAAGGTAAGGTGAGAGAGGCAGGCTGGGAACAGGTTTGGGAAGATTTGAATGTTGGGAAATTGTCTTTGGGATTCATTACCTCTGATGGGGAAGAACCAGCCATTGCATGTGCTTCAGGAATGGTGGAGAGTAACAGCATAAACACGGACTGTCAGAAAAGCAAGACTGACAGAAGAGAGTGAACGAAGGAAGACAACAATGCACAGTGTTTTCTAGTTTCTGAGAAGCTATCGCATCACACAATTGCCCTGAGGGCAGGGGCCAGGAAGACAGGTCACAGTCCGTTCCAAGGAGGGTGTTGCCCGGGGTCCCAGTGAGCAGAAAAGTGGGGCCTCAAACCTCTGGTTTGTGACTCCTGGTCTTCTAGTCTGGATTTCCTTTCCTAGCAAAAATTTTAGTTACTCCAAATCCATTGCATCTTTTTTCTTAAAAAAACAAAAACAAAACAAAAACAAAAACAAAAAAAAAACACAAAACTCTCAATTTAAAAATCTTTTAAAAAAGCTTTATCACAGTGTTCCCACAAAAATGTCAAGAGGAAGGAATATTATCAGAATTACCTGGGGATTTTTTTGAAATACTGATGGGCACCCTGTTCCTCCCTCCCTCCTCTACTCCCAAATTCTGACAGTGTTATTGTGATGCATCGAATTTGCAAGAGCTCCCTTAAAAAAATTTTTTTTTAAGATTTAAATTCAAATCAGTTAACATATAGTGTAGTATTGGTTTCGGGGATAGAGTTTAGTGATTCATCACTTGCATACAACACCCCATGCTCATCCCAACAACTGCCCTTCTTAATGCCCATCACCCACCTAGCCCATCCCCCTACCCACTTGCCCTCCAGCCACCCTCCATTTGTTTTCTATATTTAAAAGTCTCTTATGGTTTGCCTCCTTCTCTGTTTTTATTTGATCTTACTTTTCCTTCCCTTCCCCTTTGTTCATGTCTGTTTCTAAAATTCCACATGAGTGAAATCATACGATATTTGTGCAAGAGCTTCCTTGACTCTGCTTTCTATCAGCCTTCACTGTAGTGTGTCCTGCCAATCCCCCCCTATTTATTGATGGATCTCAGTCCTGGTGGTTTCAGCTCTATGTTCAATTGTGCAAGCCCTGGGGAAGGAGGAAATGTTACCATAACACTATCAATGAGAAAAGACATGGAGAATATGTCTCCATTTGTAACATGCAGAGAATCATATGATTAAAGCTGGTGGGTTTTCCCCCCAACTAGCTACCTCTATTTGGGTATCTACTAGGCTTCTCAAACACAACATGTCCAAAACACAAATTCTTGATCAATCCAGCTCCAAATCTGCCCTTCTCCATCTCAGGGGATAGTAATTGCATTCTTCCGGGTGTTCAGGCTGAACATTTGTAGGTATACTTGACTCTCCCTCTCACACCCCTGATTCAATTCAGCATATCTACTCATCCCTAATCACCCTGCACCAAGTAGCATCCTTTTCCTGTGTCTAATCCCTTTCCCCCTTTCACCTGCACTGTCTTTGCGGCATTTAACATGGACAAACAAATATAGATCCATTTGTTTATTGTATGTCTTCTTCCACTACCAGGCATGTTGCATGAGAACCAGCATGGTTTGTCCACTGTTGTATCCTCCTGGTGCCCACAAAGAACCACTCAATTACTTTTAGGTGGGTAAATGAATATTACTGGTGTCACTGTATGTAAATAATTTACAAATCTATTGATTTTTCCATTTAATTAGAATGAAGAGGTTAAGCTGCCACCACAGGAAGTTCAGGGTGTTTCAGTACTCAGGGCAAGCATTTATGTAGCATCATGGAGCTTCCTGAGTTTTATGACTTTCAAGCTGAAAGTAGCCTGGGGACTATGACTTTCCTGCAGAGTTAAAAGCATGGTTCTGGGTGATGTTAAGTTGGTAATATCCTTCCTCCTGAGCACTGTTAATGGTAGTAGTTTGGACTTCTGTTGGACACAAAAACATTTTAAAAGTGGCAAACAGAAACTCTGTGCATTTGTCAATAGGAGTAGAAAAAAGATAACACATACCATTTTTGAGAGCCAACAAGTGGCTGGCACATTGGCTAAATATTATTTTAAATATTTACTATAAAGAAACTGACACTGTATTCATGCTTTCACCTCTGATGGGGAAGAACCAGCCGTTGCATGTGCAACGGCTCAGTGTAATAAACTGAGCAGAGATCAACTGCACAATCAGAACAGAAGTGAGAGCAGGAAACACTGCAGCTCTGAAGGCTTGAAGACCAGCCTAACCACAAATGAAAGGAGGAGAGGGTGTCACAGGGCTCCCTGCAGCTTTGGCAGAGGTCAGACTTGGTGGCGTGATCGCTGGGCTTCACACTTTGTGCTTCACTTAGTTCCAATCCTTGGGTCTCTGCAGCCTGCTGCTATGTCTGTCCCTCACTGAAGCTTGTTTGGACTGTTTCAATTTCTCATTTCATTTCTCTACCTGCCCTCCTTAAGCCCCCACCCTCCAGGCTCCTGAGCTCCTTCCTTCAGAACCCAGCGCAATGACGCACTTGTTCTCAGTCTGTCCTTTCCCTCATGGACACAGCTTCAAAGCCTCTGTGATCTATCTTTGTGGTCTTTCATTTACAGACAAAGTTTAAGTATAGATGCCTATACCATAGACCAAAAGACCTCTGACCAGTTCCCACAATTAGACCAGTGGCCTTTGCCCAACTCAGATTCCTGGTGCTCTCAGGATGACTTACTTTTCCATGTCTAGGCATTTTCCTGGGAACAAAGAGATTAAAGCTTGCTGCTATTTGTTATTTGCTTTCTTCCCCCAGCCTTCTCTGGGTCCTTTATTTTCTATGACTCAGAGCAAGTTCATTCCTGACTGTACTCCGCGTAAGTAGTTGGAATCCAAGTGGCATATGCGTCATGAAATTCAGAAAGCCTCATTGATCTTTGCAGAGCTGTATTTTGATTTTCTAGTCGACTAGTTGTCACCTGGGGAAAGTGCTTGGAATAGCCCCCAGTCCCTTTAACAAATACATGTAGCTGCTTGGACCTCAGCCCCAGGGATTCAGACTTAATTGGCTGGTGGTATGGCCTAGGCACACACAGGTCCCCAGGTGAGATAGCCTGATTCAGTTTGTCTCAACATCTCATCTCTGACAGCAACCCATCCCACCTCCTACCCCACTCCCCGCCCTTTATCTTAAGCTGCTTTTTATAGTGAGGGCTCCAAGAATCACACTATGTCTATAAATATTCTCCAGCAATTCCCAGTTATTGGTAAAATCTGCTCTTTTAAAAAGCCAGCCAACTTATTTTATAGAAAAAAGTTATATTAAGTTCATATAACTATAAATTTAACAACTTTAAATAAAAAAAGCCTTAAAGCAAGAAGAAAAAAATCCATATAGAAAGCACATGAATTTGAATAGGAACGCCTGGGTGGCTCAGTGGTTGAGCGTCTGCCTTTGGCTCAGGGTGTGATCTGGCGGT